AAACTTTTTACCGCCAATTCATCCCCTCATTTGCCCAGATAGCCTTGCCCCTCACTAACTTACTAAAAACGAAGGGAGCATCCTCAGTAAAACCTAGCCAGCCACTAACATGGACAATGGAGTGCCAAGCAGCGTTTGAGAGACTAAAGAGACTTTTTTCTGCCGAACCAATACTAAGGCACCCAGACATGGACAAGCCCTTCGTAATACAGGCAGATGCAAGTGATGTGGCAGTGGGGGCTGTGCTATTACAAGAAAATGATGATGCAGTATTGCAACCCTGTGCATATACATCCAAGAAACTCACGGAAACAGAACAGCGCTGGCCCGTATGGGAGAAGGAGGCTTATGGGATACGTTGGGCATTACTCACGTGGCGACAGTTCCTGGAAGGCAACAAAATCCCCTTCCAGGTGTGGACTGATCACAAAAATTTAGAAGCCCTGAAAACTTCCAGGAAACTCAATCCCAAACAAGCCCGCTGGTCCCAGCATTTTCACCAATTCCAATTTAAGCTCAAACATTTACCAGGAAGAAAGAACTTCCTGGCAGATGCTCTATCTCGCATGCCCCAATATAACAGCGCACGAACCACAGACTCTAGACCAATAATGGCAGAGTCACAACTGGCAGCACCAGTAACCACAAGAACCCAAGCCAAATTAAAACCACAACTGGACAGCCAAACTGGAATTGAATTCAGAAAAAGCTTGGAAACAGATGAATGGTTCCAGAAAAACAAAAATGTGTGCACAATGAGAGACGGGTTGCCTTGGGTAGGGGAAAAGTTATATATACCAACAACTCAAAGAGTAACTTTCATGCACCTTTGCCATGACACAAAATCAGCAGGGCATTTTGGATTTGTAAAAACTTTACACTTAATTAAACGGCAATTTTGGTGGCCATCAATAAAAAAGGACATAGAAAGTTATGTTGCCAGCTGCCCAACCTGTGCATTGGCAAAGAGGTTGCAAGGGAAGTCGCCAGGGCTATTACAACCAGTGGCAAGTCCCTCAGCCCCCTGGAGGGAAATAGCCATGGATTTTATAGTGGAATTGCCAGAAAGCAATGGGAATACTGTTATCTGGACAGTCACGGACCTATTTTCCAAACAGGTGCACTTTATCCCTTGCCAGAAGATTCCCACTGCAAAGGCCTTAGCAAAACTTTTCATCCAGCACATTTACAGATTGCACGGGGCACCCCAACGCATCATCTCTGATAGGGGAGTGCAATTTACGTCTGCATTTTGGAAGGAATTTTTATCCCTCTTAGGGACCACTCAGGGACTGACATCTAGCCATCACCCTCAGACAGATGGACAAACAGAACGCTGCCATTCGGTACTTGAGCAATATTTGAGATGTTTTTTAAATTTCCAACAGAGTGATTGGACGGACTTACTTCCTTTTGCAGAAGTCGCCTACAATAATGCAGTCCACTCCAGCACAGGCTACACTCCTTTTCAAATAGCCAACGGCCAAAGTTTCAACCCTATGCCAGAGTTAACCCCAAAAGAACCAACGATCCCTTCACTGAAAGAATGGATGGAAAACCTACAAAACACCTGGCCAATAGTCAGAAAATCACTAGATGAAGCTAGGCGGGCATACAAAGCACAAGCCGATAAAAAAAGGGTTGAGCCTACACCATTCATTATAGGAGAAATGGTGTACTTATCTACAAAATACCTAAAGTCCCTACAGCCCTGTAAAAAACTTGGACCAAAATATATAGGACCTTTTCCAATTAAAAGAATCATAAATCCAGTAACAGTAGAATTAGAATTACCCAAAAATCTCAGGCAAATACACCCAATTTTTCATTGCAGCTTGCTGAAAAGAGAGCATCAGTCACCTCTACGGCCAAAAATCCCCCCCCCACCACCTCCAATCATGGTGGAGGGTGAACAACACTTCGAAATAAAAGAGATCCTTGACTCTAGGAGATATCATGGAACAACTCAGTACCTAGTTGCCTGGAAACACCTCCCTGCCTCACAAAATGAGTGGGTCCATAAACGTCATGTCAGAGCCCCGAAGCTATTGAAGAAGTTTCACACAGAGTATCCTAACAAGCCTGACTAAATTTTATACTTGTGTTTTCTTTCAGGTGGATCTCTCTTATTGTTAAGAGGGGCCGGATGTCAGAATCCAATTATATTTCATCTTTAAATTATCAAATATAGAAACTCCCAATTCTGCCTTCTCTGGATTCTGCCATAAGAGGGAGAGAAGGGGGAGAACAAAGGGGCTTTATGGCCCTCACTTCCTTCTTTACACTTCAAAGAGCTAAATGCTGAATGTGTGTTTATTGTAACCTCGAAGTGTTAGCATACCAAAGGAGAGTAATTGCCTTTCATGTAGTTATCTGAAGTCTCCATCCAGACGGAAGAAAGAAGAAAGGGAGTGGAATTGTGATACTTGAAACTATCACTGGAAGGGGGGTTGATTGGGTGGGACTACTGGGGAACCCCTTAAAACCTTGAATGGGAGAGCTTGGACCCCAAGTCCTGTCTAGCATGCCTGCAACCATTTTCTCTTAATAAAGGATTCCTGTTGGAAGAATTATTCCAAGAGTTCTGTCTTCTTAAGATGCAAAGTGGGGTGAGTCCTTACATAGACCTTATGTTTCAGGTTCCTATGGAGAATAGATCTTTACAGCATCGGACTTTCCTTTCACCACCAGATGCATCCACAGCTGAGCGTCCTTTTGGCTTTGGCCCAGACGCTTCACTCTTTCTGGCGCTACTAGTACTAGCCCTCTGCTCTTCCCCAGTAGCATATTGGATACCTTCCGACCTGAGGGGCTCATCTTCCAGCGTCATATCTTTTTGCCTTTTGGTACTGTCCATGGGGTTTTCATGGCAAAGATACTGGAGTTGGTTGCCATTTTCTTTCCAGTGGATCACATTTTGTCAGAACTCTCTGCTATGACCTGTCCGTCTTGGGTGGCCCTGCACGGCATAGCTCATAGCTCCATTGAGTTACGCAAGCCCCTTCACCACAACAAGGCAGTAATCCATGATTAACTAATTAATATGTAACAAAGCATAACATTTATTTTCTTTTATAACCAGGAAGGAAAAAGAAATTAAACAAAACTGTTTGTAACATTCCCACAGTGAAACTAGAAGAGTTTTCAGAGAGAAAATATTCTAAAGAGTCTCTGTAAATCCTGGAACATGCAGTATAATACTGAATGGTCTCTCTATGTAATCCTGACATTAAATGAAATTTCCATTCCAAATTTAATTCTTTCCTTGATGCATATACAAAAAAGTAATCCTATATGGTTTTTCAGTAGCACCAAAAAACTAATTGAACATGACTACCTATTTGATGTGCTGCCATGAATGGTGTCTTTCACTGCAGCAACATAGAAATATAATAGACCAATCAATAAATAAAATTGTATAAATTAGTTGGTACTTTGTATATTTGTCAAGTGTACAAGTTATGCATATTGTATGCCATTGTTTTGCATCTTGTGGTGTATGTTGTTTAGTGGCCTTTACAGAAAAATAATGTATAATTATATTTTTTTTATTCAGTAAATAAAAACTGAAAATAAAACAAGTTATTCTTACAGCAGAATGGCTTATAATGGAAGGGGCAATGTCAGCTCCAGTATAGGTAGTTCTCAACTTGCAACCACAATTCAGCCCTAAATTTTAAGTTGCTAAGTGGGAAATTTGTTAAAAGAGTTTTGCCCCAATTTATGACTTTTCTTGCCACATTTCTTAATTGCAGTTGCATTGCAGTTAAATTAGTAACACAGTTGTTAAGTGAATCTAGTTTCCCCATTGACTTTGCTTGTCAGAAGGATGCAAAAGGTGATCACATGACCCCAGGACACTCAACTGTCATAAATGTGAGTCAGTTGTCAAACATCCAAATGTAAATCACGTGATCATGGGGATGCTGCAATGGTTATAAGTGTGAAAAATGGTCATAACTTACTGTTTTCAGTGCCTTTGTAACTTTGAATGGTGTCTAAGCAAAATGTTGTAAGTTGAGGACTACCTGTACTTCAGATTTCCTTTGCTCTTCATAGCTGTTCTATCCCTTGCAGGTGAGGCTGCATTACCCAGCCTCTTACAGACTAAACATGATAATCCTCATGTCTTCACTCAGCATTCAGTGACATTTGAACAACATCAAATCACTATTCCTGACTCAGAAAATCTCTGATCTCAGGATCCCAGTGATATTCATGCTTCCCCTTTCCAGATAACTACTTCATAAATCTGCCTTCTTTCACTATTTTTGAACTTCTTTTTTTACAATTTAACTTCTACTTTTCTTCTACTTTCAAATCTGCCTGAAATTCTGTACATTTTTTAAAATATTAATCTTCTCCAGGTGCATTTACAATGGGGATTTTATAATTGTCTATTAGAAGAAGCCTTTACTGATTTCAGCTTTCTGAATTAAATACACTGACTTCCTATCAAATTCTTGTTCTAGACTCAGCTTGCATAAATATTTTATGTATCCAAAACTGATCTTACTGAGGCAATATGTGGCTGTTCAGAAATATTAGTGGTACCATACATTTTCAAATAGCCAGTTTTGTGTAGTGGTTAAAGCATCAAGCTAGAAATCAGAAGACATTGAGTTCTAGTCCCCCCTGGGGCATGAAGCTAGCTGGGTGACCTTGAGCCAGTCACTTTCTCTCAACCCTACAAAGGAGGCAAATTTCTCCAGGCAGTATCTGAGGATCAGATACAATTGAGAAGAAGAAAAAATCAAATATGTATTGGACTGAAATGTTGCCTGGCAAATAAAGGATCTGTTTCAATATACTTGATATAGATCCTGCTTTCTGTCCAACTTATGATAATACATCTTTTTCTTTCCCCCTCCAATTTTAAATATATGAATGCAACAATTTTCTGGAAAAGCAGGAAAGGAGTGAAGATCCAGATATTCTACAAGGCTAGGGCCAGGATATTAATGGGGCCACCATAGTTTGCTTAATGTAGGAACATTAATAGTAAGAAGGATATAATGTGTTCATAAATCATAGAAAGTATACATTATAGTTTATATGATTTTGGAAGAGAAATAATGTTTAAGGATGTTAATGTAATGCCAAAATATTATACCCAAATTATTTGTAAACTGGTCCTCTGAGTAAATGAGACAGAATATGATATCGTTGATGCCTGAAATAATGACACTTAGTAAGAGTAAAACCTGTAAGAGATTCAAATTCACTCTCAAAAATATTTCCTAAATATTCTGTCTTCTTTTTGAAGATGACTCACTTTTTGTCTTCACTTAGGAAGGAGCTGGGAACCAACTCCCTGAACCAGTGGTGGGATTCAAATACCTGAACAACCGGTTCTATTATGTGATGCAGGCCTGGGCCTCCAATGCCAAAAACGGACTTCCGGAAGTGGCATCATGCACTTTCGATGGGCCATTCTAGACCTGGGAGGCCTCCAGGCCTCTGATGCCTAGAACGGACTTCTGGAAGTGGTATCCATACACTTCTGGTGGGCTGTTCTAGGCCTGGGAGGCCTCCGAGGCCTAGACTAGACTTCCAGAAGCCAGCCAGTTCTTCGAATTCAGGTAAATTTAGCTACCAGTTCTCCTGAACAGGTGCGAACTGGCTGAATGCTACCACTGCCCTGAACCATACAGACATAGGAATGTGTATTTTTTTCTGAGCTACAACACAGCACCAGCTACCTAAGAAGGAAAATTAAATTAATTTTGACAAAGTTCATTGCTGTTTTGCTATATTGTTATCAAAGAATGTCTTCATATATTTCTAATTTGCCATCAGAATTTCTGCATAGAATCAGTTTGAAACCTCTTTTATATAAAAAGTAAAATACAGTATTAGAATTGTATTTGGAGTCCCTATGTTTTACATGTTATTTTACATGTTATATTCCATATGCTGATATTTGTTTATTTTTATGATTGATGAAACAGTCATAATATAGAATCATACTAATTTGTAACTCAAGATAATTACAGCATTCATTTCTCTTTTTCTGTGTGGCATTGCTTCTTTTCTAGATTGCACAACTTTATTCCAGAAATCTTAAAGAACAGAAAGTTGAGCTTGTAACTCTAGAATGAATTTCATGGTCCATCTTTGAATAAGTATGGATATTCACAGCATCTTTGGAGAAAGAATACATTTGGTTCTTTTTTTATGCCAAATTATTACTGCGTTGGATGTACCTCTTGATTGTAAGTACTAACAGTTCACAATCTAGGGAAAGATATTGATTGAACAGATTGTTATAAACAAATATCTTGATAACCTAGAACAAATCTATATACCAATATAGCATTAAAAAGAATATGTGTATATGTACATATATCCAAAGACACTTTTTCACTTCCCTTAGTTGCAGGCAGTTCTTGTTCATTATAAAAGTTTGTTTTTCCTTTTCGCCTCAATGTTCCATTAATAATTACATTGTTGTACATTTGCCATGTCAGCATGTAGAATATATCCAAAATTAACAATTAGCATTCTGATTATCTTAGCACTCATAACCTATTTAGTGATTTAGCAATGAAAAGTATATTTAACAGAATACAATTGAAAATATTTGAAAGGCAGCGTAAGGACCCACCTCAACTAACCACCCAAGAAAGCAGAACTCTTGAAACAAGCATTGTCTCAAAAGGAAACTTTTATTAGGGGTCAGTGACAGTAGGGAAATCAAGGTGAGATCTGGGGGAAATCCTAATATGGTAAGCTAAACCAGCAATATTCCTCCTCCCACCAGTCATAGTGTCCATTTGAAATCCAGCCAATCCACAGGTGGCACAATGTGTGGGTAACTGGAACAGTTGGCACGCATCTCAAGGTCTTCTCCAGTTTCGTTTCTCTGCAACCGTCTCCCTGATAAGGGAAACACAATCCTATCTCAAGTGGATAGAGGTGGGAGAGGAAAAGTAGAAAGAGAAAGTTATCCCAAGTGAAAGCAAATTCCCCCCTCCTCCCAGCAGAATGGCAGGCCCCAAAACAAGAGCATATATGCAGGGAAAATAATAAGGATTTGGGGACCTGACATACGCCCCCTAAAAGAACAGGAAATCCACCTATAAGACAAAAAGGGAGGGGACCAGGCACATCAATTAGGTTTATCAGGATCTTGAGAATGGAGGCGACTTAGAAGTTTAGGGGCTCTAATATGTTTCTTGTACACCCAGTCATTCTGGGTGGAAGGGAGATTCTTTCAAGCTATTGTATCACCCCATGGTGTGTTTGAAAGTCCAAAATGTTGTTCACCCTCAACCATGATAGACATGGGCACTGGAGGTGCAGGAGGCCTGAGGTTAGAAATAATCTCCAGTTTGAGTAAGCTGCAGCGGAAAATAGGGTGGATTTTCTGTGAGATCTTTGGCAAATCCAATTCCACCATCACAGGGTTTATGATGCATTTGATAGGGAAAGGTCCAACAAATTTAGGACATCACTTCTTAGAAGGTTGTAAAGACCAAGACTACTTTGTGGAGAGGTATACTCGATCCCCAACTTTACAGTCAGGTCCAGAAATATTGGGACATCGACACAATTCGAACATCTTTGGCTCTATACACCACCACAATGGAGTTGGAATGAAACAAACACAATGTGCTTTAACTGTAGACTGTCAGCTTTAATTTGAGGGTATGTACATCCAACTCAGGTGAATGGGGTAGGACTTACAGCAATTTGCATATGTGCCTCCCACTTGTTAAGGGACAAAAGGTAATGGGACAATTGGCTTCTCAGCTGTTCCATGGCCAGGTGTGTGATATTCCCTCATTACCCCAATTACAATGTGAAGAGGCCCAGAGTTCATTTCAAGTGTGCTATTTGCATTTGGAATCTGTTGCTGTCAACTCTCAAGATGAGATCCGAAGAGCTGTCACTATCAGTGAAGCAAGCCATCATTAGGTTGAAGAAACAAAACAAACCCATCAGAGAGATAGCAAGAACATTAGGCGTGGCCAAAACAACTGTTTGGAACATTCTCAAAAAGAAGGAATGCACCAGTGAGCTCAGCAACACTAAAAGACCCGGGAGACCACGGAAAACAACTGTGGTGGATGACCGAAGAATTCTTTCCCTGGTGAAGAAAACATCCTTCACAACAGTTGGTCAGATAAAGAACACTCTCCAGGAGGTAGGTGTATGTGTGTCAAAGTCAACAATCAAGAGAAGACTTCACCAGAGTGAATACAGAGGGTTCACCACAAGATGTAAACCATTGGTGAACCTCAAAAACAGGAAGGCCAGATTAGAGTTTGCCAAACAACATCTAACAAAGCCTTCACAGTTCTGGAACAAGATCCTATGGACAGATGAGACCAAGATCAACTTGTACCAGAGTGATGGGAAGAGAAGAATATGGAGAAGGAAAGGAACTGCTCATGATCCTAAGCATATCACCTCATCAGTGAAGCGTGGTGGTAGTGTCATGGTGTGGGCATGTATGGCTGCCAATGGAACTGGTTCTCTTGTATTTATTGATGATGTGACTGCTGACAAAAGCAGCAGGATGAATTCTGAAGTGTTTCGGGCAATATTATCTGTTCACATTCAGCTAAATGCTGCAGAACTCATTGGACGGCGCTTCACAGTGCAGATGGACAATGACCCAAAGCATACTGCAAAAGCAACCAAAGAGTTTGTGAAGGGACAGAAGTGGAATGTTATGCAATGGCCAAGTCAATCACCTGACCTGAATCCCATTGAGCATGCATTTCACTTGCTGAAGACAAAACTGAAGGGAAAATGCCCCAAGAACAAGCAGGAACTGAAGACAGTTGCAGTAGAGGCCTGGCAGAGCATCACCAGGGATGAAACCCAGCGTCTGGTGATGTCTATGCGTTCCAGACTTCAGGCTGTGATTGACTGCAAAGGATTTGCAACCAAGATTAAGAAGGGAAAGTTTGATTTATGATTATTATTCTGTCCCATTACCTTTGGTCCCTTAACAAGTGGGAGGCACATATGCAAACTGCTGTAAGTCCTACCCCGTTTACCTGAGTTGGATGTACATACCCGCAAATTAAAGCTGACAGTCTACAGTTAAAGCACATTGTGTTTGTTTCATTCCAACTCCATTGTGGTGGTGTATAGAGCCAAAGATGTTCGAATTGTGTCGATGTCCCAATATTTCTGGACCTGACTGTATATGGTTTTTGTTCCACCCTCCATTTATTGGCTTGAGTCTTATAGGCCTCCCTGGCTTCACCCAGAGCTTTCCTGAATACTGGCCAGGTATTTTGTAACTGTTTAATCCATCCCTGCAAGGAGGGGATTTCAGGCTCCTTGGTAGGAAGTTCGGGCATGGCCACAAATGTTTGGCCATTAGCTACTTGAAATGGAATGAAACCTGTATTGGAGTGCACAGCATTATTATAAGCAACCTCAGCTAATGGTAACAGGTCAAACCAATTGTCCTGCTGATAATAATAAAACATCTCAGGTATTGTTCTAGAACTGAGTTCAGTCTCTCTGTCCCTCCATTCATTTGAGGATGATGTGAAGATGATAACCCTTGACTAGAACCCATCAGGTCCAGAAAAGCTTTCCTGAATTTAGAGGTGAATTGAATCCCTCTGTCTGAAATTATACGTCGTGGGTTCCCATGAAAGCGAGATATGTTTTACACAAAGAGTTTAGCTAAAGTTTTTGCATTTGAGATCTTGGGGCATGGAATGAAATGAACAAATCTATTACAACCCAAATTATAGTGTTTCTAGCACTTTCAGGCAGTTCCACAATAAAATCCATAGAGATATCTCCCCAGGGTGCTGACAGACTTGCTACCAGTTGAAGCAATCCTGGGGATTTCCCTTGCTGCCATTTAGCCGCTGTGCATGTGGGGCAGCTGGCTACATAGCTTTCTATGTTCTATTTCAATGCGGGCCACCAAAACTGCCTTTTAATGAGATGTAAGGTTTTTACAAATCCAAAATGTCCAGCAGTTTCAAATCATGCACTGCTTGCATTACTTTAAGCCTTAAGGCTGCTGCGACATAAAGTTTTCCCCCAATCCACAGTAATCCATCTTTCAACACACACAGGTTATTGTGGTTTCGAAACTACTCATCAGTCTCTAATGCAGTTTTAAAATCCTGTAACAAAGTCTTTCTGAAAGGAGCCATAGGTTTCGACTGAGCTCTGGTGATTACAGAGACTGCTAATTGATGGGGGTGTAAAAATGGTTTAGTCACCTCTGCTTTCTTACTGTTATATTGTGGTAATCTGGACAATGCGTCAGCTAAAAAATTCTTTCCCCCAGGGAGGTAGTGAATAGTGAAATCAAAACAATGGAAAAGTTGAGACTATCTTGCCTGTTTGAGGAAGAACTTCCTGGGGGTTTTCATTGCTTCAAGATTCTTATGATCAGTCCATACTTGAAACCGTATTTTACTCCCTTCCAGGAAATGCCTCCAAGTGAGGAGAGCCCATTGTACAGCATAAGCCTCCTTCTCCCAAGCTGCCCACCTCTGCTCAGTCTCTGATAATTTCCTATAGATGTATGCACAAGGTTGCAATTGTCCTTCTTTGATTCTCTGTAATAACACTGCTCCCACAGCCACAGCCACATCACTGGCATCAGCTTGAATTATAAATGGCTGTTCTTCGTCTGGATGTTTCAGAACCAGCTCCATAGAAAAAAGTCTCTTAAGTTTCTCCAGTATGCAGATGTAGCATCCACCGGTGGGTTATTTCAGCCTTCCTGCTCAGACAGACTAAGTTCGAAGTTCAGCCACACCTCCTTGGGGCTGTCCTTCCCCAGTTTTAACTTAGTCTTTTACTCAGAGCAGACACAATTTTGGGTAGCTCCTCTGCTAGACTAGAGTTATTTTATTTTATTTATTTTATTTTATTTTATTATTTATTTTATTTTATTTTATTATTTATTTTATTTTATTTTTTTATTTTATTTTATATTATATTTTATTTTTTATTTTTTTATTTTATTTTATTTTATTTATTATTTTATTATTTTATTTTATTTTATTTATTTTATTTTATTATTTATTTTATTTTATTTTATTATTTATTTTATTTTATTATTTTATTTTATTTTATTTTATTGCGTAGATAGTTGTTTTTGTTGTTTGTTTATTACTGTTAGCAGTTAGAATTGAAGGTGTTTAGCCAGGCAGAGCTTTTAGCCAGCAGAGGCTTGTGGGCCTCTGGGAGCGATCGCTTCGACTCCATCGGAAATACA